TATTAGCCTAGAATTACTATGTTATGCGCACAGCACAAAAATATAAACTAGATTGCCTAATTTGGGAATAAGCATTGCATATCCGTTTGTTTCGAAAAAATGTTTTGGAATTTGCTACTCGCAAGTAGGCTAAAACACGGATTTCAATGAGCTATTCCAACTCAGACAATCCAACCTTCACCCACAGGCATTCAAGCAGTTATATCACATAAGCAGCTAGCCTCATGGTAATCATACTATCATGGCAACACTCACACGCATGCAAGGATGCTAAAGCATAAATACTTACATCGTACTCCGTGCCAAAACAAAGAACTCGTTAGCAATCAATGCATGATCCAAGTCCATGTTTAAATGCCTAATGCAACGCATACGGAATGTCACTAGAGTAGGCTCGGCTAGTCTATGAATGACATGTGAAAATGCACAAGTAGCATGTATTCAAGTTAGATTTGAAAATACTAATGCAGTTAGCATGATGCGCCGAGCCTGGTGCATGCAATACTGATGAATGATGCACGCATGCATAGCATAAGGTATGCTAAATTAAATGACCTATTACTAAACCATCAAAGCAGGTAAGTAAAAGGGAGAAAGAAGTAGGGGTTGGAAGACATGCACACACTCACCCACACTTATTACAAATTCGCCCTCGCTCGGGGGATAAAAGAAATAATACAATTCGAATAATGAATTAACTATCCTAGCTAATTAATTATTACAGACCAACTAAATTAATTAAACAAATTAATTAATTTAAGAAAGCAAGAAAAAAAAGGGCCTCGGGAAGAGGGCTCAATGCACGCGTGCTCGGGTCTTGTTCGGAAGTCCACTGCCATGCACAAGCTGCCTCTGTTTTCCCTGCTTTGCTCCTCTCAAAATTTCCAAAGTCTCAGAATTGCTTCCCTGGACATTGGGAGACACCACCAGCTGAGGAGAATGGCCACCGGTAGTAAGATGTGATCATCGGCTATTGATGAAGCTATCGGCCACGGGTGAATTGCCGGTCGGCACTATGTGCAGTCGATCGGCAAAAAGTTCCTGCAGAATCTGTTTGACAGCAGCAGAGGAAAGAGCTTTGCATGGCAATGCAATTCAAGCAATGTATGCACCAACCATATCCCTTATCATGTTTATGACTCAAAGGGACATGGTCATTGGTTCTCGGACCATCAATCACGCATTTCAATGCGTGATGGCCCAAGAGACCAATTTATGCATGTTGATTTCAAATGCAATGCAAACCAACAAACAAAGGGGCTTATACCTCTATCATGACTCACTTCAAGAGGTGAGGCAATGCATGCGCAATGCAATGCAACCTAGGCATGCGAGCTAAGGATGCAACATGGCAATGCATTGTGTACATGCAAGTATGCAAGTAACCATGTGAGGTGAATATGCAAACAAGCAAAGAGATAGACTTAAACATGGTTTAGGCAGCCCTTACTAGGCCTAAAACAATGGCCAAGGTGCTCGAAAGTGAAGGGCTAATAGGCACACAAACACGCATACAAATGATCTCCAACACTTCAAGCATTAAAGAGCAATTCTCAAGAACACTCAAGAGGATGCAAACATGGACATATAGCATGCATTAAGTTCTAAAATCATGTTATAAGATGATGCCAAATCAATTTAAACAAGACAAGCAAAACATGCCACAATGGCCTAAGTGCTTAAGACAAGCCAAGGAGGCTTAAACGAAGGTCAAGTCCACCAAACCTCACAAGGCTAAGGGGACTTAAAACAAGTCAAATGCAGGCTTAAACAAAGCCAAGGGTGTACTTAGATGGCATTTAAGTGGTCTAAAAGTGCAAGCATACTCCGAGGCCTAAACAAGGGGCATAAGGTAACAACCTTTAAACACATTGAAGGAGGATTAAATGCAAGCACATAGGCATGCCACAAGGACTGAAATAACATGACAAGTGGTTCCAAACCACTGAAATGATGCAAGGATGGCATGCTAGAGGGTCGATGCTCAAGGTATACAAGAGAGTTTGCATGGTAGCTATACAAAGCAAAGCATGGATGACTCAAATGACCAAAAAACAGTCCCTTAGCATACTAAAACAAGCATAAAAGCTTCACAAAGCTAGGCCAAAACACATGAGCATGGTAGTCTAAATGCTAGGCACATGTTGAGGCAAATCATGGCATTACAAGGCATGTATGTAAGCAAGCATGGTGTACCAAAACCAACTTAAAACAATGCTATTTCATGGCAAAATAAGCATAAATAACAGCTTAGGCATGGTCAACAAAGAGCCTAAGCTAGGTGCTCCCTCAAGAGGCAAAAATGGTCCTTTTCAAAGGCAACAAGGAGAGGGGTGGCCCTCTCCTTCTTGGGACCTCAAGGCACATCCTCACCTCTGAAATCCCTCAGGATTTCAAGTGGTGAGGAGGTCCAAACACCAAGGTCTTGGAGCTCACTCAAAATGGCACAAAATGGAGCCTTACAAGGCTTAAGAGGGGTCAAACAACCTCAAACCACAAAACACTCTAAACAAACTATTTAGAGGGCCTAAAAATAGAAATTTTTTATGTTATACACTAAACACAAAAATAGTTGTAAGGTGGGAAAAAATACAATGCAAGAAGGGGTAAAAAGGAGCAAGTTTCTTACCCTTGAAGACCTTCTTCAACAATGGAGCTCCAGCAGCTTCTTTAGGTTGAAACCAGCTTCAAAACCTCCAAAACAACCCTCAAGAGGCCTCAGCTCCAAGGGATGGTGTGGTAGTGTGTGTTTGTGTACAATACTATGAACAAACACACCTAGAACACTCAAGAGAGAGAGGTATAGAGATAGAATATATATATATATATATAAGCCCTAACCTAAAAATCAGAGCTCTCTAACCATTTTTTCTAACCCTAATGCCAAGAGAGGAGCCCTCTTCTTATAGGCAACTCCCTCTTGTAAGGCTTCCAAAACAAGCCATCCAAGAGGGAAATCCCTCCATATGAAGGGGAACAGAGTGGGTGCCAACTATCACAGCTGGCATAAAATATCTACTAAAAGTAGATGAACAGTGATCGGCCATTCAAAATTGCCATTTTGGCAAAATAAATGGCCGACTGGCAACAAAGAGTGCCGACCGGCAATATACATTGCCGATGGCATAAAATCACTGGCCGGTGGCCTCAAGCAACAAGCCATTCCCTGCCCCTTAAAGGTAAAAACACAAGTGTTTGGTGCAAAACCAGACACAAAACAGTCGAGTTGAGAGATCCTGAGGCAAGGCGCGTAGCCGAGACCTCCGGGAACTCAAGACGAACACAAACAAGGGTAATCACCAAGTGTTCCAATGGTGACGTCCAAGTCTTGAGGACGGTCAAAAATGGGGTGTCTACAGAGGGCCCTATACGTGAGCAAGGATCCTCTAGAGTTTTTTTTTTCTAAAGTTTCCTAAAGTAATGCATTGTGTGGTTGAGATTTAATGACAAGTCACATCAATTTTTCAACATTAAATCTCAACCACACAATACATCACTTTAGGAAACTTTAGGAAAAAAAACACTCTAAAAGATCCTTGGTGCCTATACGCATGCGGGTCATTCGATGGTACACAATTCAAAATGGTATATATATACATGTAAATTATGATATTATAGTGTTAATTATCACGAATGTTATAATTAAATTTTTTTTCAATTATTTTTTTTAATTAGCAAATAGAGAAACTTTATTGATGAAGAAGAAAAATCATACAAAATATGAGATTACATCAATAAAAGGAAGGCAAGAAACAAGAAGCATCAAAATGATCCACGGACCTTTTGAATCATGACTAGGTAAAAAATAATAAATCACAACTAAACACTACATAAAATATAATCACAGACCTTTTAAATCATAACTAAAATAATAATCACAATAGATTATAATTAATATCACAATGAATTATAATTAATTTCATAATAAGTCATAATCAAATTATAACTAACATTACAATAAATCATAATAAAATACTACAAACATCATAATTGAAGTATATAATACACACATCAAAATAGCGATAATTATTCAATAATCTCGAAACATAGACATGTGATATTCTATAATATTATGATTGATAGAGAAAGTAGGTAGATGAAATATTATATTGATTAACTAAGGAACATGAAAAAAAAGAATAAATTATAATATTTATTAAGAATATAGACACGTGATATTCTAAAAATACTGTATAATTTTTCAAAAAATTGAGGGTGTATTATAAAATTTCCCTATCCGTGAATAGCATGCACTGTGAATGCATACGAAGGTGGCAAGTGGATTTTGTGACATGACTCATGGAAACGACAAAGGCTCGCTGCGTAGATATATATATATATATATATATATTGTTCTTGTGGTGCAGATCATCATTTTTTTGGTGCTGAAAGGCTCATTTTATATATGTATATACAAAAAACAGCCGACTGAGATACAAAAATACAAAATGCTACTTATTCTCCATCACATTGTAATCATCACTAACCTTTTGGTGACAAACAAACTAGCTAGTAACCAGAATGCAACTTTAAAAGATCTCTTGGTGCAAATATTCCTTAAAACAATAGAAATCAAATATAAAAAACATATGAATAGATAAGATTTGTTATTGAAATTTATTTTTGAAAAATTTATCTGTTCATTTGTTTTTTATGTTGAGTATGTGTTTAGTTTAATAAATTTATTAAAAATATAAAGTGTAACTGATTCTCTATTACATTGAAATTATCACTAATCCCTTGATGACATCCAAACTAGGAACTAGAATCCAGCTTTAAAATCTCTTGGTGGAAGTATTCCAAATGCTATATAGAAAATGCTATTCCTCTAAAAAATTATTAAATAAAATTATTGATCAAAATAGAGTGATAATTTTTTATAAATAAAGTGCATTGGGTTTTATGTCTTAAATTGATAAGCTAACAACTTGACACATCACACTAATATATATGTATATATTCAAAGCTTAATTGCTAACCTTGTAAACCCAGAGAGATAGAGAGGGAGAGATGGGAGTCCTTGAGTTAGTTTCTCTGCTTTTGCTTCCACTTTTATGGGCAACTTGTAATGCAATCCATGAAGACTTTCTTCAATGCATGACCATCCACTGTAGAGGCTGCATTGACACCTCAAAATACATCCACACCCCAACCTCTCCATCATACACATCTCTCTTGCAATCTTCTCAACAAAATCCAAGATGGTTGAACTCCACAACTTCAAAGCCTCTTCTCATCATCACCCCTTACAAAGAGTCTCAAATCCAAGCTTCCATTATTTGCACCAAAAAGCATGGCCTCCAAACAAGGGTCCGAAGCGGAGGCCACGACTACGAAGGCCTATCCTACCTCAGCAACACCCCTTTTGCCATAATCGACCTCATCAATCTCCGATCAATCAGCATTGATATAGAAGCTGAAACAGCATGGGTTCAATCTGGTGCAACTATAGGAGAACTTTATTATAGTATTGCCAACAAGAGTGGGGTCCACGGATTCCCAGCAGGGTTGTGCCCCAGTGTAGGGATTGGAGGGCACTTCAGTGGAGGAGGGTTTGGGACCATGTTGAGAAAGTATGGACTTGCAGCAGATAATGTTGTAGATGCTTATTTGGTAGATGTCCATGGAAGATTACTGGATAGAGAAACAATGGGTGAAGATTTGTTTTGGGCAATCAGAGGAGGTGGAGGAGCGAGCTTTGGGATCATAGTTTCATGGAAGATCAAGCTGGTCCGAGTTCCACCCATTGTTACTGTTTTCAACATCGACAAAAAGTTGCACCAAGAAGAACAAGGTGGTGGTGCTACCATGACCAAGCTTGTCCACCGATGGCAACACATTGCGCATAAACTGCCTGAAGATCTCTTCATCAGAATCGTCATCCAAGTTGTTGATGATGGAGAAAGTCAAGGTGGGAGTCAGAATAAGGCAATCAAAGCTTCCTTTAACTCACTATTTCTTGGAAGAATTGACGAGCTAATCCCTGCGATGAACAAGAGCTTCCCCCAGTTGGGTTTGCAGGCAGAGAATTGCACTGAAATGACTTGGATTGAATCAGTCTTGTATTTTGCAGGGTACCCGATAGGACAACCCCTTGATGCTTTACTGAACAGGACTACTCAATATAAGAGCTATTTCAAGGCAAAATCGGACTTTGTGACACAACCCATACCACAAAGTGGGCTTCAAGGAATATGGGAAAGGCTTTTGCAAGAAAATATTGCATTCATGATCATGGATCCCTATGGCGGAAAAATGAACAACATTTTAAAATTTGAGTTACCTTTTCCCCATAGAAAAGGCAATTTGTATAACACACAATACCTGGTGAAATGGGAAGGTGATGACGGGGTTAGGGCAAGGAACAAGCACATACACTGGATCAGATCACTTTATCGGTACATGAGACAGTTTGTTTCTCGTTCTCCAAGGGCTGCGTATCTCAATTACAGAGACCTTGACTTGGGGATCAACCAGCAGGGGAACACCACCAACTACTCACAAGCAAAGGTTTGGGGAAGAAAGTACTTCAAGGATAATTTCAAGAGGCTGGCACGAGTGAAGACCAAGGTTGATCCCAAAAACTTCTTCAGAAATGAACAAAGTATTCCACTGCTTCCTGCTATGAAAAGAAAGGTAATATAAATATTAAACAGAGAAGTTCGGCCAGGCAACCATATTCATAATGAAATAGTTTGTGTAAACAAAAGCAGTTTTACATCTAACCTTTCTCAAACACCGCATTGGCAAGTCTTGTGTACTGAGCTGCCCTTATGTCTTAAGTTGCTCATCCGATCATCAAATAGAACAAGAGGGGTTCTTTCTTTCGCATGACACACAATTGACATCACAAGAAGAAACTAGAAAGCAATCTCACTGTCACGGGAAGAAATTCAACACTAAGACCAACAGAAAATTTTATAGCAAAATAACTAACAAAAACACGAAACTAGCATCAACTTGCACTGCTACCAAGTATCAAATGTATGCAACCACAGGAAAAGCAAATAATCTAACCTCTTTCAAATATTGATAATTGTGTGTGTTGATTTTTGACCACACTGCCAAACAGGTACTCAGCTGGAGAACACCGGCAGAATAGATTGCGCCCGAACGACCTGTCACAGAAAGATAAGATTCCGGCGGTGGTTCGTCCATCCGAGGGCACTCTAACGATCAAGTCAGTACTTAATTATTTCTCAAAGATAGCAAATAGTACTTTAACTCACTAGCTAGAATGCAAAAAGCGTACCTTAGACCCACAAGGGTGCCTTACTTTTATAGTCAGCACTAACCTGATCCCCGTAGAAGCCTAGTTTCTCTTGGACCCTGGCCTAATGCACATCCCAGACTCTTCAACAAATAAAGATAAACTCCTTAAGAGCTTTATCGTTATCCAGGCTGAGGTCCTCCCTCATTCTAGGACTCTTGACCCTTATCCGTTCATCTCGGATTCCGGTATCTCCCCAAATAACCTCGGCCTAGCCGAGATCACCTCGGCGTCATGACCAAGACACGTGGCACCTCAGCTGGCACTTTGGTGCCACTTGGGTCACGTGTTGTCATTCCTAAAAAATATGCCTCCACAACTGCCCCCTAAGTTCTATTATCTCGGCATCCTGAGGTGATGGAACCTATGCCATTTGACCACATAGAACGTTGGCTAAACTGGCTCTATCCTTTATTTCTGAGGTCATCATTCACCGGCTCCATAAGACATATTGTGTTTTCTTAATGCCTTTAGAACCAAGCACCTAGTTTTTTAAGTTTTTGAACCGAGATCGTCCCTCAAGCCGACGTATTTACTTCATTAAATTAAGAACTCCAAGAGTTCCATATGCGCATGAGCTGTCACGCATGGTAACTAAACTATTTTTCACCACGCGTCCTTTTGCTTATTGATCCGTACCTGACACGCGCCATCAGGTCGCGTCACCTCTGCGTGCGCCGTTTGACAAACAAGTCGTCCTAGGCACACTAATTTTTTTTTTGCCGATGTCACGACCCAAACCCGCCCCTATGGGTTTAGCATCGTAACCGGCCAGTAATCTAAGATTACCGAAGGCCTGCTTAACAGTAATCCAGTAAAACAGAGTACAGGGGCCTGGCGGAAGCCAATACAGTAAATAAACAATGTCCAATGAGCTGTGACAGTCTGTATGCCAAAAAGACTTTTCATGCATACAGATATATATATATATACACACAGTGCAGAACAGTATGTACAACATTTATAATCATTCAGATCAGGGACCTAATCCCTATTAAACAGTACAGTAACAGTCTATACAGTTAACAAAATAGTTACAGAGACAGACGGGGGAAATTAAAACACCCTTAAGCCATAGCTTGACAGGCTCAGAACCTCGCAGTGAGGCACAGTGGTTGGCTTGACAAAACTGGAGCTTACCCCGACGCTACTAGCCGCGGTCTGGTGCCTGTACACCTACATATATATATGAGCAATGAGCTAAAGCCCAGTGAATAACATAATGCGTAAAGAGGTTTAGAATGAATGTCCTTACAATAATGAAAATTGTTCATTAAATCAGTATTTCAGTCGTTCAGTCAGTTCAGTCATATGTGGTACATCCATTAGCATAACAGTAAAGTAAACAGTAAGTCTTGAAAGACCGAACAGTCAATGATGGCCATCAATCAGTAAACAGCAGTGGTTCCAACAAGGGAACCGACAGAGATCTCTGTAACAGTAACAATCAGTAACAGTAGTTGCTAAGGATGCCACAATACATTTCAGAATAGAGGACATACATTCATTCTATTAACAGTATCAATTCAGAAACAGTACAGTTCAATTGTTCAGAGGATAATCATTTTTGAACATATCTCTACACAGTTGTTACTCACAGAGTTTTGGGCTACAGTTAGGCTAGAGCGCGTCCCCAGTCGCCAACCCTACACAGTTTACAGATTGAACACACACTAAGCTACACAATTGGGAAAGATAATAATTTAATCCCTATCTTGACTCGGTGTGGTTCTACATCTATATCCTCATTAAGATGCCTTAAACTAGGCCTAAGAATGCCTAGGATGAAATGAGGATGCAAAGATACACTTTGAAAGCATTTTCAGAATTTTCAGAAAACAGGGTTCCAGCTCGAGCGTCGATTACTCCGCTCGAGCGGCAATACAGACAAAGGTTTCCGCTCGAGCGCAGACTTAGACGCTCGAGCATACTGCAAAACAGTCAAAAGTGCTGGATAGGTGAAAATCACGCTCGATTGGGCGCTTGACATCCGCTCGAGTGCAAGACACAAGGTCCCGCTTGAGCGTCAATTACCTCGCTCAAGCGGACATCAAAACAGTGCAAAATACTGGGAGCACGAATTTCACGCTCAAGTGCCAGTCACCCCGCTCGAGCGTGAGTTCAAAATCTAGAATTCCCAGATTTGAACCTCAAGCTCAAATTCAACTTCAAATGTGTCAAATTCAATTCCTTCGGGCCCATTTCCTGGAAAACACTTCAAAACTCATAGTTTAACATGATTCAAAGCTCAATTTGTAAAATCAAGGCCCAAGAGAAGATCAATTCAACTCAAATTCAAACCAATTTTCATGAACTTAACTTCAATGCAACATGCATGAATTTAAACCGCTTTCAAGCTTTAAACACTTGCTCTAATGAGCCAATTGTTCCAAAACAAGATGAAATCATGGACTATACCAACAATATGAACATGCATGTACCAAATTCCATGTAGTGAACCTCAAAATGCTAGGATATAAGCATGCATTTAACAATTGAGCTCTAATTCAACACTATTGAACCAATTCATGACTTAGCTCTTCAATATGACATGAATCATGCAAGAATCAACTTAAAGACACAATTAAGAGGTTGAATTCCTTACCTAGGTCTTCAATGCAAGATACACAAGCTCAATTTGCAATCTATACTTCTATTCCTTCAAGTTTCTAAGCAAATCAACAAGGACAATTCAACTCTCTCACTTTCTCTCTCTCTAGTTCGGTGGTGGTGAGGAAATGAGCTGATGAAATGTTTGTTTGAGTGTATAAAGGCTCAAATATGTTTAGCCCACATGGCCCACTAACAATGGCACTATTGTAAATAAGCCTAACAATGCTATTCAACCTTAATTAGTCTAATTTAATCATACCTAATCAGTTTTCAGATAATTACACCATAAAATCACATAAATTCTAATGATCATAAAACATCGATCAATTTCTGATTTGGCCGTCGATAAGGCCTTCAACTAGCAGCTTAAACATAAAAACATGAATAGATAATCAAACAGTCAAACAGATAGATAATGCATTTAAACAGATACAGTCAATCAATCAGTTTCAGATTTCAGTCAATCAGTTCAGTATTTCAATCAGTTCAATTACTTTTCATAATCAGTCTCAGTTTAGCAGTAATCAGTAATTTATCGGTAAACAGTGGTGAGGGTTGTTACAGCCGCCTTTTCATGTTTTAATCAAAAACATGTCTCTCTCTCCGTCTTTTCACCTTTGCATCTTCGTTTTCTCTAAGCTTTCAAGTTTCTCTCTCTCTAAAAATTCCCTTCCTCCATTGTTGCCTTCTTCAAGCTTCCTGCAACCACTCCATTCACCTCTTCCGGCAAAGCATTCACCGATTCATTTACCGTCGTCGTCTGACTTCGGCGAGCCTCACACCGGCACCATTTTCCTTGGTAAGCCACTATTTTTCCCTCTTTTCAGTTTTTGGCTTACTTCGAATTTTGTTGCATTTGTATACTTCTTTTGTGAATGCGTTCAGTCTTTGCCTATGTTTTTAAACTTTATCATTCGTATGTTTGGGCATGTTCTGTTTTGCAATCTCGTGTTTGCCCACTCTGTTTCTGGGTCTACACATGCACACACATACTGTTCATACACTTGATGTTCTTGTAGATTGCTACTGTCTTCGACTTGTGCACATTTACATTTTATTCAATGTTCTTGAATCCCTTCTTGTTTTCTTGAGTCTGAATTATTGTTCTTCTCTATTTTTTGTGTCTTTTTTTCTAGATTCTTACCTTTAATTCTTGTTTCCATAGTCTTAGGCTTGGGATTCGTTCTAGAAACTTGATCTTTAGGAAAAGCAAACCAAAAAACCCTTCAGAAAAATTCACCTTAGTGCTCTCTAGGGTTTTAGCCAAGGTCGCTGAAACCCATAAAAAAACCACTATCTTCTGAACTCTCTCACCTTGCCCCTCTTAGCAGATATCATGGGCATGTTTAAGTGAAGAGTAGACATCCAAGAAAAAATCGAATACCTTAGGCAAGAGTTCTCTATCTCTGCCGACGTTCATCTTAGGCTGGCTGGGGAAGAGGACTCCATCATGCCCAAAGACAATTCCATGGCCTTCCCAGTAATAGCTTTCATTGAGTGCAGGCTTAGGTTCCCTTTTGACATCCTCTTCCACCAAGTCCTTCACTACTATAAGCTTAACCCGATGTAATTAGCCATTAACTCTTATCGAGTCATAAACGGTATAATTGCCTTGGCTAGCAAAGAGAACGCTAGGATTACTCTAGCCGACATCCAATACTGTTACACCATGTGTGGCCTAAAGTCAGGAAATTTCTACATCTATTACCTTAAGCCAAGATTCACAGAATACAAACTCATCGCCGACCTCCTAGACTCCAACAAGGGTGCTGGAGACTATTATTTCATCGTCTCGAGCAACTGGGAGTTCCCACCAGATGACAACCTTCACCTCTACCCCTTAAGCCGAATAGTGTTCAAAGAGGAAAATGGTAAAAGCCAAGTGTCACTTTACTTGATTTCCAGTCTTTATTTTTTAGATACTTCTG